TCCCCGTTGCTGTCAAACGTCCCGCTGTCTACTCAGACAATCCACGAAACCAGCCCAAGCGTCGTTTCTAAAATCACCCAAAGAGCGAATCGGCCCACCGACGGGTACACAAGGTGAGCATTATAACTTCACGGAAGATCGGAGTATAGTCGGCAAGAGGACCTCAGCAATCAGCAATTTTCGCAGAACCACTTCGCCACAGTGGTGCGCGTGCCCGGATCTTTGGGTGCCTTAGTATATCACCGTGAATCCCCAGATGAAGAAGTCCAAGCTGGAATTGGACTAGGGAACGAAGCGTCGGCGGATATTGGATCGCCGTTGACTTCGCTAAGCCAAGAACGATCCACAGATCGGCAGAGTTTTAAGAGGAGCTCTACCGACGGAACAGAGGGAGGTCTGGCGACAGACCTAGAAGAAAAACCTCAACCTCCTCCCCAGGTCCCTTCGGGGACCCCTGCGAGTTGTGATTCGCATCAGAACCCGCTGGACGAAAGTCCACCGAAAGCCGGGAACGTCTTGTCTCAGCAACCTTCTAGCTCAAGATCGACCGTCAAGAAGAAGCCAGCTAGATCGAAGTCCTAGCGAAAGCACCAGACTCGGACATCGACGATCGCATCGATCGTATGTCGGCTTGGGCGAATGAACATCTCGAGAACGTGTATCACGAGTAGCAGCTTCACACGTTTCTAACTGAGGACGCTGTGATGCACATCCTCCGTCCGAAGCTGTTCGGTGATCTGAAGGGTTGTGTATCTGAACTGGCCTTGAGATTGAATACGTTGGACAACGTAAAAGCAAGGCTACGGTTGTTCAAGGAGTCCGGAATTGTTGCTGGAGCATTTGAGTCCAATGATCTGCTCGACCTTAGCGAAGAAGTCATCAGTGCTGCGCCCAGGACGCTGTTCGAGATGTTGAAGCCGCTGGTGGGTGGAGCCCACAAGATCTCCAAGAGCAAAATACCCCATCCTGATTCCCCAAGGGACGATCACAAAGAGTCGTCTTCCCATTATCAGTCTGTAACAGAGGAGGTGAACACCGACAGTGTCGATGACTCGCCATGAATGACTCTAGGCCCATCCGGAACCGCGTTGCTACGAGATCGACCCGCCCAGAAGGCTGCAAGTCCACCCACTGAGAGAGGCTTCGCTGTCGCAAGCGTAACGCGGTTTTTCCGCCGGAGAAGCTGGAGTCATTCTTTCAGTCGGTGATGGGGTGATTCCTTGAAGAACAGCGGATAGCGATGGCGCCTGAAGATCCAACACCCACTGGAGCCCAAGACGTATAGATGGAGTCGGTTGGATCTCTAGATCACCATCTCTTTCCAAACGACTATGACCCCAATGATCTTGATGTTATCGACGTGCTGCCGTCGCTACGACGCCTTCAAGACGCCTACGAAGACCACGACTGTCCCACGTATCCGCGAGGAGATCGCCAAAGACAAGGCACTTCTCCTCATCTGGTGCTTGATCTCGCACAAAGGCTGATTTAACCTTGTTCAACAAAGATCGGCTCGATCGTTGTCGCCGTCCTTTCCAGAGAACTCCTTCAGTTCAGACATCGCTGACACCCCGGACCAGCTCGAAATTGGTATCGACAGCTAAGTCGAACAACCCGCAGCACGTGGAAGGACTTGCCCCACAGCTTTCAGACGGAATACTGCGGCCACAGTGTTTCCGTCGCAAGGCATTACTAACATGCGCGGAAACGACCCGATGAGTCGCCACTGGAGTATCGTATCGCCTCAATGTCGCGGATCTACGCGCTCGAATCCAAGTCAAGGATGGTCCGTTGCAAGTCTGCTGTGAACATGTTGATCACTTCATCGAGACGCTGGACGACCGGGATCTAGCTGATCACCTCGCAATTCTTAGGATTCCCGATGCAGATGCCCTCGAGGTGGTGTTGCGATCACGCCAGCGTACGTAGGCCCGGCAGATCAAGTCGGTATATGGCTCGATTAAATCTCGCCAGATGCCTCCCAACGCGACTGTACCGACGCGTGTGGTTAAGCGGTCCATGTTGCTGAAACCAGTAGCGACTCGGAGATCAGACGTCTGAAATCGATGATGACGAGGACCTGCGCCGAGTGTACATGACTATCAACCCCCAAGCTTCCAAAAAAACTTATCAGCCGTACTACACCTGTGCGGGTGGGCTCACTCCACCAGAACTGAAAAACTTTAAATATCCCAATTGTTTTTTTATTTCTTCTTCAGACTGGCTTTTTCTGTTCTTCAATCTGACTTCGTCGGGATCTTAGCTAACATGGTTGGGTCAAGTTTATATTTCTTCTTTAGTAGAAGTAGGCATCGCTTTGGACCTGCGCCACCTTGAAGAATGCTATCCACCTCTGGTTTTATCTGCATGTCAATACCAGATATCTTTCGGTGCGTTAGCGACTAGCTCTATTACCACTAGCTTCTGTAATTTGTATGAAGAAGTAGTTGTGGAATCAGTAGAGCTGAAGTCTGAAATTCGGAGAACCCGTAGACGACGAGAGCACGCCTCGTGCGAAATGCAAGTGTAGACGCTCTTGCGACGTTCTGTCGGCCCATACATGCGTAGATCGTTGTATTCAGATGTGTCGACACTATGTAGCGCAGTAACAGCAGCATCTTCTGTACAATGTGTTGAGATAAACCGGAATAAACTTTGTGCGACGTTTGCACTATCACCCTCAGGCGGTGATACCTCTGGATCTTGTTCATCGTCGCTAATGACTGAGGTTCAGCGTCTGTTGATGAATGCGCCGTCTCATGTTATACCAGGATGTCTAAAAGTATCAATATGTTGTAACACACACGGCTGTAATACAAATAAACGGTACAGAGTACATCAATACCACCTTTTCACTATTGAAATGCATCCTTTGTTTAGAGTGTTGAATTCCATCCTTTTCGTATTGAAAATACCAGCGACCACGAACCCTGTGAAGAGATCCACCCAGATCAGCAACTCCGTGTTGTCCTTGTACGACTTAAACATCGACGGAACATGGTCCATAGCAATAATCTGGAAACGGTAGGTAGCTTGAAGATTACCAGGTGATTCACCTTGGATCGTCGGCCTTCCTTTCCCAGTCTCGCACTCTACACACTGTCCCACATAGAGCTGGACACTCTGGTATAACCCTCTCCAGTGAAAGTGTGCCCGAATGCGCTGGTAGGTTCTTCCGATACCTTGGTGCCCACCCTTCAGGCTGGTGTGGTAGTGGTGAAGAAAGTCGTTTTGTAACGATTCTGGTACCACTAACCTCATCACGAGGTCGCGATCTTCATCAGCTCGTTTGGATGGAGGACAGTAGAAGAGTAGGCCGGCCTCGTCGATCTCGTAGTCTTCTGCGATCTTGGCACAAGTTTTAGCGTCCGACGCTGTCAGATCCTGCACGTCCCTCGCAAATACCTCTTGAGGTCCGTAGCCCACTTCTCCTCACCTAGGGCTCGAACAATTCGATCCATCCGTATCCGCTGTACAACGGCTTCCTGTAGCACTTTAGCCCTGCGTCGCCGGTACGATCTTGCGACGGCTGCGATCTTGGTCACTGCCTCGTCAGATCGAGGGACCAACAACTCCGGCAGGCGGTTGAGCATTATCAAATCGTTACTCCCAACCCCAGACATGGTCACGGAGCCTTCTCCCTTTTGCAATGCCGCACGAGCGAGGCTGTCAGCACTTTGGTTCCAGTCTCTTTTCACATGGGGAAATTCATGTTCTGGCCAAAATCGCAACTGCTCCATGACTTTCTGTCTGAGTAATTTCAGACTCGGCGCCATACATTCAATCTCCCCACGCATCTACCGAATCACTAGGTTCGAGTCGCCACAAATAACAAGCCGTCCTCTGTCAAGGTCGGACGCGAGCTTAAAACCGAGTAGTAAACTGTGGTACTCTGCCTCATTGATGGTAAGATTCTTATGCTCGGACCCCGCAGAGACCACAGTCCATTTAGGTAAGCTCCATACGATCGCGCTATATACACCTCCACTGCGTTTCACACGATCCAATCCATCGAAACTAACTACCAGCAACATCTCATCTGGTTCAACAGTGGGCGGCTGCATCGTGATGACTTACCTCGGCTGATTTCTTGGTGCAATCGACGTCAAGATCGCGTCCATCTCGGCAAGTGGGGTGAAGCTAGCTGAGATCACTCCCAAGATTTCATCCTCGCCTTTAAAACACTTTACGATCTCTAGCGTCCAGCTCGATAGAAGGGCAGCCCAATTTCCTAGTATTCCTTGTAGACCTGACGAATGCAACAGCTAACCCAACGTCAAATGTCGAGTCAACACTTTGATCGACCTTGTCACCAATTGAGCCTATCAAACATCAACGATTCTTAGAATCGCCAATACCTCTTTATCCACAATTCAGTAGTTGATCTCGTCCGGCTTAAACGTTCGGCATGTAAAGGTCACAGGCTGGTACATACCATCACCAAGGCTGCTGAGATCGCCCACTTACTGGCGTACCCAACCACGACGGGCTGTTTGTCGGAGTCAATATGCCGAATAATAAGCCCGGTCGCGATCCTGGCCTTCAGCGTTTCGAAAGTCCTGACCGCCCTGGCCCATTTGCCATATCCTTCAGGATTACTATCGTCCAGCTACAGCTTCGATTTTGAACTTCTGAGCGATCTTAAGAAATCCGCTTCCCGAAACTCATAGAGTATCGAAGCATAAATCGCCAAATCCTCGATAAAACGAATGTAGTAATTCAAACTTCCCAGGAAAGACTGCATCGATCTCATTGTGATCGGGAAGGAAGGTCAGTCAGAACAGACAGGTCCTTCGGCGTGGCTTCAAGTCCGTCTGCGGAAACAGAATGGCCAAGATAGTCGACCTTGTGCCGTCCCCAGACACTCTTCGCCACGCTGATGGACAAATTCCACTCATCACACACGTCCACAAGCTTGTCTACCTTCTCACACAGCCCGTCCCACGATCTCGCCGTCACAAGGATGTCATCAATACAAGATCGACGTCTAAGAACTGAGGACGTTTTACACCGATCGGGTTCTCCATTTTCAAATACGTCAGACTTGTCGGCACGATCTTGGTTATCCGTGATCTAAAGGAAACCGTATAGGGCGTTGTCTAGCAGTCGCTGGTAGATCTGAAGAGCGTTCTTGAGGCCTAACAGGACAAGCTTTCACTCAAATAGTCCAAAGGCGTGATAAGCGCTGAAATGGGGCGACTTTTCGGACTCGCTGGGCCACGGGTTTGACGTTTCTCACATCTATGTCGCATACGACACCTACTGCAGCTGGCGGTAAGGCGTTACCCTTTCCGATCTGGAGGTGGCGACGCCGCCAGAGGATTAGCCTCAATCTGTTGAATGCCTCTGGTGTGTTGTAATCTGGATCTCCTATTTGTATATCCTCTATTTTCACCTCCTCCGTCAGATCAGCGACATCAGGAAGGACTGCCATGATATCGCTGACATATTCCGCGTTTTATTTGTTTAGAGGTCGCCTCCTTCGCTGATACACACTTCCTCGTCTCCAAAATCAGGCGCTGCTCCACAATCTTAATTACGGGTCCAAAATGTCTCTGCCTCCACCTGAAGATCTTGTCTAGCGCATGTGCCTTTTTGTCGATCTTGCTCAACACACATCCGTCGATCTTGGTCATAACTTGTCTTTGCACGTCGATCTTGACCGAAACTCGTCTCTTCGCGTCGATCTTGATTACCAATCAGAAGTGACCCCGTCTCATTTTCAGTACGAATCTGACTCGGGCCTGTCTCAGTGAGTCGATCACGCATCTTAGTTGCACTGTCGCATCCCGCAGAAAATTCTTGATCACGGGATGGGGCGGACTCATCCCGCGTGTGACACGCCGTGTCGTCTGCCACCCGGTCAATGAACTGCAGCTGGCATCAAATGTGTTCTTTCGATTGGCTTCGTCTGTGTTCTTCGCCGCCTTGTCGCACAGCGGTCGCACACCGTCACCGCGGATATAGTCTTCCCCATACTAGGGAGAGGTTTCGGCGACTCGGGCGAGGTCGCCATCGATCCAGGAGAGGTCGCTTTTGGTCTGGGCAGAATTCTGGTCGGCGTGGCGTATGACGGTTGTTCTACAGCGGGTCCTGGTAGGGCTATCACCTCGGGCGCGTCGTCAATCTCGTCAGCCGCAGCTGATACGCCAGATTTTGCCAGTGCGCGTAGCGTCTCGACCCGACCAGGACATATCCCGGTAAGCGCGGTACTTCAGCTAATCACATCTAATTTGATCGTGCTCTTGCAGCCATACTACACGGTCACTAACATTGGTGATCTTCAGATAACACTTCTTGCCCGGACCCAGCACGAAGGTAGGGACCCAGCGGTCGCCTCGCGTAACCCACAGCTTCATGAGATCGCAAGATCGCTGGCGTAGCGGTATCTCAGCTGATCGCCAAGGACCAATTCTACGGGTTTCACGGACCTCGATCTTGTCGATCTTCTCTCCGTAGGGCGGCCGCCGTCCATACATATGTATCCGAACTTCGTCAGGGAGGCAATACGTGCCGTCTGCAAGATCGAGCCGAATCCCTGCAGGGACCATGAAGTCCATGCCTAGGATCAGATCTTGACCACCAGTCGGCGGGCCCACCCAGACGTCGAACAAATACACCAAGTTTCCAGCCAATGTGATCTTGATTCGTGTACGTCCTTGCATTGCATACGGAGAATTTCCAACACCTTCACACTCTAGTGTCTGACTTTTGTCAATATAGCAGCCAACTATACAAGCAAGGCGGCATCTAAAATTGACACCTCGGCGCCGCTATCCAACAACAAGAGCGCCTTCTCGTTGTTGATCTTCCCCATTGCTTTTGCTTGCTTGAAACGTTTGTCTGGTGCGAGGTACTTCCAGTATCCACGCGACTCTCCAGGCAAGACGTCCAGGGTCATTACAACGGGCGACCTCGAAAATTCGCCGTGCTCACGCAGACTTGACACGGCAAAGGTATGGTTCTTTTGAAGATCGCATGTATTGTCGATAGAGGTCATCGGCTTGCTAACCGATAACTTCGGTTGTTTCTCGACATATGCATAAATGCAAAATCTAGAACGCTCGGCTCTTACCGGATTCCAACCCGGCGATCGTTCTAGTTTAACATCCTTTTCGCAGGTTCTGGCAACATCCCTCGATGCTTGTCAGGGTTGAACCATTGACGAATCAGGTTGTAGAATTCTTCCATTGGACACTCCCCAGCTTCATGAATCTCTCCGCAAGCCTTGCAAACGAGAAAACATCGGTCCGTCGGGTGGCCTCTGCGCTCACATTTCCCGCACTTCAAGCGCCCCCAGCAGCCAAGATCGCCATGCTTCTTCGATCCGCAGTGCGATCAGCGTTTGGCCACCGTCCCCAAGTCCTTTGATCTTGAGTGTCGGTCTCCTGGATGATCACGGATCTTTTGTCGATCTTGATTCGGAGGGCATCGATCTTGACGTTTGTCCTGGTTCCCAGTTGTAGAGCCAGCTCCTCCAGGACTGCTCAGACTATCGCAGAAAACTACGAAGAATGTGTGTTTCGTCGATTTGGTGCAAGTGAGGCGATCAGACATGACCGAGAACCTGGCTTCATGCCCTATTTCTTCAGGTCATTCAACAGGATCGTCGGCCAATAGCAGCGAGCGACTATGGCATATCGCCCTCAAGCCAACGGCACACCAGGGCGCATGGTACAGACATTAACACGTGCTCTCAAGATGTACGTGGGTGATGTAAACCAGAAGGATTGGGATGAATACGCGGAACAGTTGACTTTCACACTCAATAAGGCTCAAGATCGTGTTCGTGGTGACACGCCGTTCTACTTAGTTCATGGATGGGATCCTCGATCTACGTTGGAGGCCGCGATTCCGCTAGGATCGACACGATGTCGATATCAAGAACCCCGCCGGGGGCGTTACCATATCCAGTAACACTACCAGAAGGCTCGCGAACAAGTTAATGAACGTCTCCGTGAAGCTATTCAAGAGAGAGCAGATCGGTATAACGAGGCGACCCGACCACACAAGATCGAGGTTGGTTCACAAGAATGGCTGTATTTGGATCGCGTATAGGAGGAGCACACATGCGCCATGGGCCCTTCGGAGTTGCGGGAGTTGTCGACTCGCACGCGGTGAGACTAGAAATCGCTGGATCTGACTATTACGTGTTTCCAGTGGTACATGTGTCCAAACTGAAACTAGTTCGGAGATTCCCAGGTCGCCCGAATGTGAGATTGATAGCCAAAGATCAAGATCGACTCGACGTCAATGTAGGTTGTTACCTAGGGACAGCTCGGACACTGAGCTCGACGAGGGTGAACACGAAGTCGAACGCATATCGGACGAGTGAACAGGACGTCGAACACGCTACGGACGGAAGCTGTGCGAGTTCTTGGCCCACTGGAAAGGTTACGACAATCCGACATGGGTCGACGAAGCCGGTCTTAACTGTGGAGCACTACTGCATGATTACCTGCGTGACCAGATCAATTGAAGTCGATTCGGGGTGTTACAGTCGCACGAGGAGCAGTAAGGCTGCAAGATTGTGAGGGAAGAGGCCACAGGAGTGATTAAGTGATGGTTCTGCGAGTTGGCCGCAGATTACGGTGGATGGGGTTTTATGTATGCATTTGTAGCGTAGCTGGGCGAGAAACGACACTCAAAAAAGACAACGCGGGGAATCGTTTGGAGTACCAAGATCAACGGAGTCCGAATCCCAAAAGGAGGTAATCACAAAGTGCTGAAGTACAAGATCATACGACCGCAAGATCACGAGATCGCAAGGTCGCA